GGGGTGGCCACCCCACAGGAGGGGACACACAGGCTGCCACAGGACATGCTTCGGTTCAGGAGGTAAAGCTGCAGAACAGGACAGAATGTGAAGCCATTAGAGAGTGTCCAAAGGAGGCAGCAAATATGGGGAAGGACCTTGATTTGAAGCCATGGGAGGGCACTGAGGGCACTGGATGTGTTCAGCTGGAGAAGAGGAGACTGAGGGGAGACCTCACTGCAGTTCCACCTTCCTGGGCAGGGGCAGAGGAGGGACAGGACTGAGCTCTGCTCTGTGAGCAGGGACAGCACCCAGGGAATGGCTGGAGCTGTGCCAGGGCAGGCTCAGGTTGGATCTCAGGAGAAGGTTCTTCTCCCAGGGGGTGGTTGGGCACTGCCCAGGCTCCCCAGGGCAGTGGGCACAGCCCCAAGGCTGCCAGAGCTCCAGGAGGGTTTGGATGATCTCTCAGGTGCATGGTGGGACTCTTGGGGATGGGCCTGTGCAGGGCTGAGGGTTGGACTGGATGATCCTTGTGGGTCCCTTCCAACTCAGCACATTCTGTAATTCTGTGATCTCAGATCTCAGGTCTGATCCCAGATCCCTCCTGGCTCTGTCCCACCTGGAACCTGTGTCCCAGGACATGCTCTGGATCATCTCAGCCATTCAAAACCCCTTTCCCCAGGGGAGAAACACCTGTTCAGATCCCTTGTTCCCCTCATGATCCCTCATTCTTACTGCCCACAGGAGTGGGGAAAAGCTCCTGCATTTCCAAAGCAGATGGAAAATCCCCAAGCTCCCAAAGGACTTGAGTCCACTGGTACAGTCCCAGCACTGAGAAATGGTGGAACACAGAGCCAAAGATCCCTTGAGAAAGCCACGGACGAGGAAAGAAAGCTGGAGGTAAGACATGGACTTACCAGGACGGTTGATGAGGAGAGTCAAGTGGAGAAGCTGGATAGAGGTCTGGGAACCCCTCAGCTCTTTTATACATGTCCAGGAGTGCCTGAGGCATCGGCCAGGGGGTGTTGGCAGAAGCCCCAGCTAATCATAAAATCAAGTGGACAAACCTCATGACACAATGGCAATATAGGGCAATTATATCCATCTTAATTGGGTTTACTAACGAGTAAACGTACCCTGGAGAGCAAACAGCTAATGAGAGGGACAGATCATGACAAATCACTACATGAAAGATAATTTGTTGCTGTAGCTGAGCTCACAGCACCAATAAAGCCCGATCTGTCCCTAATCCCCTGCTTTGCTTATGCTCAAGAGTTTTGGGCATCACACTGAAACTCTTTGAAATCCTTGGCACAGCCAAGACATCTGTCATTAATTCCCTTTTACAAGCTGGTAAGCAGGAGGAAGAAGCCATCCCACTCACCCAGGGCAGATCCCAAATTCCCAACTGGCCCCGGTCTGGCAGGGGCAGGGGAGGTGGCAAGACCACGGACTCACTGGAAGGGACCACAGTGGGTATTCTGGTCCCACCTCCCTGCTCAAGGAGGGTCATCCCAGACCACGTGGCACAGGGTTGGATCCAATTTGAGTTTCTCCGTCGTGGCAGAAATCCATTTAAAGTCAGTGAACAACACAACTGAACGGCTCATGTCGTGCACATGGAAAGCTGCAATTTCCTGCCATGTTTTAGGACCCTGCACGTGCCCATGGTCCTGTGGGTACAGGCTGGCTGGGCACTCAGGGCTCACGTGCAGGGCTGGGCTGTGGCTCAGTGTGCTGTCCCTGGGCACTGCAATGTCCCACAGGATGCCCAGGATTGTTCTGTGTAAGCAAAGGGAGAGATTAGGGGCAAATCAGGGTTTATTGGGGCTGTGAGTTACTGCAGCACCTTGTCTTTCATGTGATGATGTGCCATGGTCTGTCCCTCTCATCACCTGCTTCTTGTCCAGGGCATGTTTGAACACAGGTGCCCACAATGAGGGGATGACATATAACAGCATCTGTGTCAGGAAGCTTGGCAGCTTGAATTTCTAATTATCTGGGGTTTGGGCCCCCACCCCCTGGATGATGCCCCAGGCACCCTGGGACAGGTATAAAAGAGCTGAGCTCCTTGCAGACCTCTATCCACATCTCTCCACTTGACTCTCCTCAGCAACCGGGTAAGTCCAGCTCTCGCAAACCTCTTGGGGATCTCTCCTTCCTCCTTCTGTGCAACCCCTTCCTCACACCTTGGCCTGATCCCTGTTTTCCAGAACTCCTTGTCTGTGTGAACATGTCCTGTGGCAGCCTGTGTGTCCCCTCCTGTGGGGTGGCCACCCCGGCCCCTCTGGCTGACACGTGCAACGAGCCCTGCGTGCGGCAGTGCCCCGACTCCACGGTGGTGATCCAGCCCCCGGCCTCAGTGGTCACCTTCCCCGGGCCCATC